TGATTATTATATACAGAAAATATCCTGCTTAGATGCTGACAGAGTGCTTAGTATAGTGACAACTGCCACATCAACTTTATTGATTCATTTTTAAAGTGTGCTGCTTGGTGGAACCGTCACTGAGGGTGACTTAATAAACTTCAAGACTTGGGCTATTTTCTGTCTGTCAAGGAGATAGCTGAAATTAGAAGCACATTCTCATTCATTTCCTATATTAACTAAAATACATTTTGTTCCATGTTTGTTTCATTTCCATGCCATTTACTTTTTGATTTATTCAGTATGACTAGCCAGCATGGATCAGTTTAATCTTGGAGACTTGCAGATGGAGTAGGAAATATTCATAGACTTTCACCATTTTAATACTCACTGCCCCATTGTCACGCATGCAGGCACTTACCCAGTGAGACTGGTGCTATCAGAGGATATTTCGTCCTGTAAATTGGAGGGGAAACTGTGCTGCTTCACTTGTACATTGCCATTTGGCCTAGCATATCAAAACGGCTGACAAACAGAAAGACTGAGAGCGACTCTGTCTAATCACTAGCTGTGCGTGCTTCACAAATGACCTTGAGGAAACTTCACCTGTTGACTCACAGTTCTCTCTGACTTAACTGCACATCTGCAAGACCTTTTATCTTCATGATAACACTTGCTGGTATATATAGAAACTGAAACTACTGCGGCTGATGGCACAGTAAGTGGATGGATGAGGCAGGCCAGTATGTGAAAGCCAGAATGTCTCGGAAACTACTATTCTAGGTAGATGGACCTCCATCCAGAAAATCCATAATGATAAATAGGTCAGCAGCTGATTAGTGACTATTATGTGGTTACTCTCCTGCACATAGCCCAGTCTGGATTGTACAATGATGCTTGAGGATCTCAGTATGACTGTGTCCACATTTTACAAGCACCTGTCACATTCTCTGTGCATACATATGTCTGCAGGGCATCTTTGCCTCTGCATAGGACAGTCCTCACATGATAGCTAAGGCACCTCCTAATAAGTGGGTCCTGCTTGGATTGTACTTGGTGGGGTGTAGATTTACTACTTCCATGGCAAGGTACATGAAAATAATCCCCTTCCATCAAAGGACATGCCTTCTTGCCCTGCGTTTAATAAAAAAGACAATTGCTGTCTTCTTCAAACAGTCACCCGCATTATCACCTGACAATAAAAATTTTAAATGGGCTTTGAGGTCAAATATTGTAATCTGCTTTGCATTCTCAATTTGGAATGGCATCATAAACACAGACAACAATAAGAAGCAGCATTTGAGATGTGGGCTTATAGTGGAATGCTAAGGATTTCTCAGATCAAAAGGGTGGTCAATGAAGAAATACGAAGAGGAATTCATAAAGACCAAATAATAATAATAATAATA